AAACTGTTGCTTCAGTGGTTCAACAAGTAGATCAAATGAATCCTTTTGTCTTTTATCATTAACGTTTGATTTTTGATATCATCTAACTAAAATCTTAGATAAAAAAATGACATTCGTTTCACTCGGGTTTTTCTTTGTAATAAGATTATATATCTATCTAAATAAATATCATTTTTTGTGTACTTTTTAAAAAGAACGATAAATGGAAAAGTCTTTTCCTGTTTACATTATGAAACTTGATCGTGCGAGTAATCGAGCAACCCTTTTCTCCCTTCTCGGTTCTTTGTCTTTACGTCTCATAAAGTTTTCCATGCAATTGCTCTGTTAATTTATAACCGACGTAATATTTTTTTCACGTAGAAACGAACACACGAACAATTTTTTCACACTCCTCCGATCGAAATCGTGGTTTTATTCGAACACATTTCGATATTGTTGCGAAACGTTAAACAATTCTTTTTCTATTCGATCGGAATATAATAAAAGAAATAAAATAAAATAAAATAAAATTGATAATTATCGTCAAATATTTTCAATAAAAATAAAAACTCGTAGCAATATTAATGTAATCAATATTTTCTAAATGGTTTTCAACATTTGCTAATAATTTTGTATATTAATTGTTAATTATATTATAATTTATATAATTCTAATTATTTATAATTATATTAATTTTGTATATTATATTTGTATTTTGTTTTAAAGTTTATCTTTTATATAATTATAATAGAAATAAATACAATTATAAAATAGAATTAAATATAAATATAAATATAATATATAATATATAATTATAATTATAATAAACTATTAAAAAAAGTAATACAAAAAAAAATAATAACAATTATAATAATAGAGTGTTAAATAATCTGTTAGAATAGTTTTATACAAAAATACACGTATGATAATATACTCAGTGTTCCAATTTTAAGTTTAAAATTCAGTTGTGTGAAGGCATTTAAAAGCTTATATAACAGTTTGTTCTCACTTTTGTTTATAAAATATAAATAAAACGTTGAAATAAATTATGCCGTTAAATTATCAATAATCGAATTAACAGAAAAATAAAAACATTGAAAAAATTTGTAACAAAACAAATGAAACATTGTATATTATTACCATAAATGTATTAACCAGAGAAGTATAACGAAAAATGTATAACGATGCACGTGTTAAATAAACTATTATATTATTTTAGTAATATTATTCAAAATTCTTACATAAGAAATCGTAACATATGAAATAATAAACTCACACGAAAGTAGAGGATTGATAGAAGACGTTTATTCGTACAAATGGTCTGATATTTACTGGCTCTTCGATTTGAATATCAACAGATGTTTGTCAGTAATAATCCAATACGAGTGACACAGAGTTAAACCAGAATAATATGTTACCCATAATCTTATGGCGAGACAACATATTTGTTTCTATCAAGGATGATACTTATCAAGAAATCAACAAATGATTAAAATAAATATATTAAAGTTTCATATATAACATGAGTTCTCTTTCAAATTAAAAATTAATTACAAATATTTTCAATAATTATGAAAGTTATTATTGTTATAATAACAAAGATGAAGATAATCAATCTGAAACGGTTTTCAATATTTGTCAACAAATTTGAATTTTAATCATAGCTATAATATTTATTTTAAATAATAATAATAATAATAATAATACCCGTGAGGGGGTGGGTAAGAATACCTCCCTTAGTAATCCCTGCTTGTCGTAAGAGGTGACTAAAAGGAAAACCCATGACAAATAAAGGATATTATAATAATAATAATAATAATAATAATAATAATAATAATAATAATAATAATAATAATAATAATAATAATAATAATAAAATTATTATATCTAAAATAATAAAATTATATTACTATATATTATATATATTTAGGTATTATAATAATAATAATGAAATTATTATATTTAAAATAATAAATTTATATTATTATATATTATATACTTTTTAGATATAACAATAATAATAATAATAATAATAATAATAATAATAATAATAATAATAATAATAAAATTATTATATTTAAAAAAAAAAATAATGAAATTATATTACTCGTGAAAAATATTTCATACAATTCAATTTTTTAAAAGAAGAAATTCATATAACACGTAACACGTTAGATATGTTATACAAATGTCTACTGTATATTTTGAATTTTATAAAACAGGATTTAAATGACAGTATCGTAAAATCATGGAACAATCGAACAAGCTTTTGTATGTTCTTATTCGTTTCTATTTCCTCGTAAAATCTATAAACGAATGACAAAATTGTTTCTACATTCGATATCCTGAAATCCGTGAAAAGACACATGGATACGAAGAAAAGAGGGAAAAAAAGGGAGGGGATATATGTAAATGGCAACACACGTGATAGGTGGAAAAAGATTAGTAGAGGGATGAGAAAGAAAGGCACGAAAGAAAGGTACAAAATAAAATTACACTTTACGATTCAATTAGATCGGATGAAGAAATTTGTAACACCAGGATTTTATAGAAGTATTAAATTGTAAATTGAAAGTTATGGGTTAATGAGAACAGTAAATCGGCTGATATATTTATATTGGATCAATATTTCTTAATTAATTTTTATGATCAAAATTTAAATATGTAATATAAGTTCGGAATAGTAAATTGGTATTTATATTTTTTAATTATGGTTTGTTTTTATGATAACAATTTAAATATGTAATATTAGTGAATATAGTTTTTTTTTTATTTACTTGTTCTACAAAATTTTAAATTTAATAAATATATTATTAAATATTATAATGATCAATATTTTCAAATTTATAAATTTCAATTAAATTTTTATAATAATATAATTTTATAATTAAATTTCTAAAGGAATATTAGTATGTAAATAGATTTTATTAATATGTAACAAAATGATGCAACCTTGTTTCTATTATAAATAGTGACTATGTTATTTTAAATATTGATAAATTATTATTTATATTGTATAATAATTTTTTTCTTTCTATAAAATAAATTTTATTTCCAAATAAAAATAGTATTCACATATAATTGATCATAAATATATTATATTTTACAAAATAGTAACCAGGTAAAAAATATCGTGAACACTTTCTTGCAATATAATAAAAAGAAAGAAACCCTAAAGAAAATCCTGATGTAATTCTAATAAATAATTATTAAAAATCAAATACACAGTAATATTCACTTTACTAATCATATATTTAAAAAACAATTGTGACAGAAAACAAACCAAAAAGAAAAGAAACTGAAAAAATCTAAAATGTAAATCCAAGAAAAGATGAGAGTATGTGTAAAAAATGTTAAATAGTTTTTTTTTTACATTAATGGTCACGTGTCCATTCTGAAGAGTAAGGATATTGTGTCAACCTTCTCAGTTACGGTCCTTGACGAACAGGTAATCGTATTATTGTCGTTAATTGCGACATTGCCTGCACTACTGCTGAGAACTTTCTCCCCAGGTAGTGCAAAGTACCGAGACAGGTTTATGCAGATTGCTTTATAACTTTGTTACCGATCATTCTATTAACCTTAGGACCCTGTAACTGTTAGATACTACCCTGTCGAATGATTTTGTCGGAACTATGAAAGAAGGGTGAAGAGGAGTAGCGAAATCTCTGATAAGAACCAATCGGATATAACATTATTTGCTTTTATCCTAAACGCTTTTATCGATTATCATTTTCAAAGTTTAGTTTTTGCTAATATTTTGTTTTTTTTAAAACTAAGATTATTATTTTGTCATCTATATTTTGTGGGTATTTTTAAAAATAATTTTAATTATTTTTATACATTTTGTTCGTTGTTTAACTGCTACTGTATAAATTTTATCTACATAATTTATACTTTTTTACATATTTACGCATTTTTTTTTGTTTTTAATAATTATGGTACTATTCATTTTATTTTTATCACATAAAAATGACAATCGACATATGCATAATTGCATACAAACCAAAATCAGCTACAACCAAATTAGAATCGTACTGTAAAAACCGATAAGGGCTAATTTTGTTCTATCAGCCATAATTCACACTTCCCGAACGTTTACAAATATTCTTAAGTAAATAATTTCGTTACGTATTTGTTCTTATAGTACGTATATACGGTACAATAAAATCTTTCAGTATGTTTGTTTGCTATATTGAATTAAAAAATAAAACAAAACACATCAGATAATTGTGTGCAAGTGACAAGTGGAAATGAGAAAAGCGTCCCGACCAATGACAATCAGGAAATATCGTATTAGGGTAAGAAAGAGGGTCTTTAAACTGTGACCGGAAGTGGTCAGATGCTTCCCGCAGGATATGTTCACTTCAAACACACATTCCCAAGTGAAAAGCGCACCTGGCTTCTGTCTAACGTGTAATTGAAATTCACACCGGACAAAAGATTTCACACTTTGGTTTTCATTGTCAATAATTGATTGAATAATTTGATCATTTTCATTGTAATTATATTATATTATTTTTTAAATTATTTTCCGATTGTTTAAGAAAAATTGTTGTTTAATTTTATCTGTTTTTGCTTAGTGGAAATTAGAAAAACAAAGAATTTAATATTTTCTGATATTCAGATTTATTTTTTAATATTTTTTAATATTTATATTTTTTTTTAAATATATTTTAATATTTATACAATTCAGTATTAAGATTAACAAGGATTTATCAGTAATATTAATTAATATCTTTATAAAATAATTATATTATCCAAATATAATTGAAGTTAAATTTTTACAATATTTAAACAATTCAACTTAAACTCGGTAATCCTTGTTTCGATAAAAATTACGAAGAAACAATAAGTGCAATAAAACGCAAGTTAAGAATAAAATTGACTATGTTATTTTCCAACAATTTCTTTCAAATATAATAAAAATAAATTGTAAAATTTCAAATTACTGAATAAAAATAAAATATAGAAAAGAAAAAAAAGGATGGAAAAGAAAAGAAAGAAACGAAAGTACTTACCCCGAAGTTGAAGAGAACGTTAGACGGGATTAAAAAGTCCGTGTTAATCTAGGATACAGTCAGAAGTTGTTGTTAGTTGAATCAGCCTTCGTGGAAATGCGGTGCTCCCAGATGGAAACCCCACAGCCGATTGATAGCGATAAGAGCGATAAGGGTGCATCTCACCCCGGTGTTTCCGGCTCGGGGCCGTCGCTCTACCCACCGTCGTCTGCGTCTCTCTGCGTCTGCTTCTTCAGCTTCCTCTTCTCAATCCTCGAGGAATGGTCGCGCGCGTCAAAAGTTCACTTGGGCGCATGCACCAAACCAACTACCGAACTAACCCAACGAACACGAACGTACCATCCTTCATCCCCCACTATTTTATTCTTGCTAACTGTATAGACGATAAAATCACCTACTCTCCTATTACTTATGTTCCAGTTTTATCAAACAGTATGGTTAGTCAATGATTTCAATATTTGGATATTTATAATAGGATTTAATGATTGCATTTTAAATTTGTTGATATTTCAATTATATTGCTTTAAGGTTTTGTTTGGTGGAAATTATTTAAGAATTGGGTGTATATATTATAACTTTTGTCAATGATTTCTTGAAAGAAATAATATTTGGATATTTATATTAGGATTAAATGATTTTATTTTTAATTTGTTTATATTTCAGTTATATTTCTTTAAGATATTATTTTGTGGAAATTATATAATAATCGGGTGAGATTATATTGCAATTATTTTAAGGGAGGTTCTATGAAATAATTAGTTAACAATTTTATTTTGATGTATTATCTAGAATAAAAAAATTAAAAAATTTGGTTTTAAATTTGAGTATATTTGAATTTTTATTATTAGAAAATTATTTTCTAGAAATTATAATGGAAGATTATATTTAAACTCTTCTTACTGCATTCCATGGAACAATTATTTAATTATTTTCTTTCATAATAATACGTAATATTTAACGATTCAATAATATAAATTAAAAATTTGTTTTCATTTTTGCGTATTATTAAATTATTTTCATAGAAATCATGTTTAGTATTCGTATCCTGTATTATCTTAATTAATTTTTATAATTATGTTAAAACAAAACCAATAGATTAATTGTATTATAATTAACGGAATGGTGATTAATTAAATGAAATATTAGGAAAAATTACTTAGAAAGGAATAATAGACTATTAAAATTCTGACGCTTATGGTCGAGAAATGAGAACATCTAAGTATAGTAAAGGAATGTAATGTGCGACCAAAAGGAATGCAAAGATTCCGAAGAATTCTCGATATGAAGGGATCCCTGAGCTTGAACTGGCTCTTTATTAAGATGCCTTTTATCACGTACCACTACAAATCGAAATACGTCGATTTTGAGTACATCATGCTCATAAATGATTCCATGAAAAATTGTCATTTTAACATTAAAGTATATTTAAAGGGTTTTTCATTCAAATATCCATGCATTTTTTTCAATAAATTTTATTATGGAAAGAATCGTTGGACAATATTTACGTAACATGTGATCCTTATAAATGTTGAATGAAAATAAAAACTCGAATAAAAATTGTCTCTAAAATTTGATAACATAATTAATCAATAAGATTAATTTTTCATTGTTTATTTTATTGATAATTGAATTATATTTTTATCTTAATGTGTGGCTTTGAAGCTTAAAAAGGGCTCTGCTGATTTTTAGTAAATTATTATATATAACACAATAAAAATAACAATTAATACAATATAATATATAATATAATATTTATAATTATTTAATATGTAAATAACAATTGTTTTATTTATTTGAATCTTTTTCTTTTTGAAATGATAGAAAAGTTGAAAATAATATCTTGAAAATGGTATCTAATTTTTATTATTCACTGACAATGAAAAAATCATCTTGGATTTCCACATATCATCGGCTTTGGGATTCAGTAATTCTTTATGTCTTCTTTTATATGGCTTCTACGTGATCAGAAAAATTATTCTACTCGTTGAGAGTTTACTTTCGAAAACATTGGAATGATCAGCAAAACTTTTCGTCAGGACACCTTTCGTCAAAATAATAATTTCAATATATTTGTGTATAAAAATTTATGTATTTAGTTCTGAAATCCTTGCAATTTGATCGTCAAACTTTTTTGAACACCATTTATCAAAATAATAATTTCAATATATTTGTGCATAAAAATTCATGTATTTAGTTTTGAATTATAATAAAAATAATTAATGAATAATTGCATATAAATTTAAAAAAGTTTTTCTATTACCACCTGTGGAGTCGAAGTCTCGGGAAGGTGACATATAAATTCCAGGCACAGAAAGCGAACTCACTTGTTGATTTTATCAAGCTCCCGGGAGGAAAACACGCGAGGTAGAGTGCAACTTGTTGCTAAAACTGAATCCTCTTCGTTGAGCCGATTTGGTATAGTAGTAGTTGACGTCACACACACATATACACACACATCGTGCGCACGCGTTTATTATAAATAATCGTCTTAAAGGTACGATAAACTGAAATGGATAAAAAAGAAACTTTTTTTCAAAGTGAAGTCACAATTAAGGATACACAGGTACGAGTAATTAGCAATTGAATGGTCCATTGTTCAAGAATTGAATTCATTAAATGAAAAAAAAGTTTAGCAAAGTTTAAATGGTTCTATTGTTATGCAATGAGAATTAAAAATAAAAGAACAGTGTTCATTGGAATTTTATAAGCTGGAAAGTTTATTTAAAAGGATTGTGATTTTATTTTGTTGAAATAATTAAATATGATTCATAAATAGTATAAATAAATAATTAGGATTATATTAATTAATATAAAAAGGTATTAGCTTGATTTAATATTTTTTTTTTTATAATAAATTAATATAATTTATATTTTAACAGATAGATAAGATAAGATAATCTTTATTTAACCCAGCTTTACAGCCATGTGGTGTGACTTGGTTTACATTTTTGCATTCTTCACTCATCCATCCACTTCTCTTCATTCATCCATCCCACTCATTCCTTATTGCTTCTCCTGCTTGCATCATCCCTAGGCCTGTCTCTCTTCTTCTCCCTTTGTCATGTTCTCTGCAAATCCTCCTCTGTTTCTTCACATATCTCAACCATCCCTCCACCTTTTCGTTCATTTTCCCCTCTAAAATTTCTTCTTCCTTCAGGTCTGTTCTTTCAAGCTTCGTGCAACCTTCCATCAGGTGCCTCAATGTCCCAGCCTCTACACCGCATAGTCCACACTTCCTCTTGCGCTCATCTAGCCAATACTTATTGCACTCCTCTAGGTTTCCACATCTCGCCCTCGCTATTAATCTCTGGCTTCCTCCTCTCCTACACCTGTTGAGGTATCCTGGTCTTGTGGCCGATATTATCCTTTTATACTTCCTGTTGTACCTCGCTTCGTCTATCTTGTTGGTTTGCAGTTGGCCCTGTGTTTCTCTGTCCCTTTCCTTGAGACTTACATTTATAATTGCACTTACATTTTCTTCCTGTTGCCTCCATCTATTTATATTCTAATAATTTTAATTTATTATTTAATGCATCAATATTTTAATAACATTTGTAATTGTAATATAAAAATTTATACAGATTAAATAATTAATTATTTATTGATCAAAATTTAATTAGTTAAAATGTATATTTGAAATAAAATTAAATATTTTGTATAATATATTAATAAATTATTTGTCATATTAAACTTAAAATATGTTAACACATTTAGCATTTTTTTAGCATATTTTATTTGTATAAATGGTATACATTTGCTTGCATATATTTATCATGTTTCATAAACATCGAAATTTTAATTTTGTTGCAATTCTGTATTTTGTATTTGTAAACTTATTTTTTTTTAATTTTTTATGACGAAATTTAGAAAGGTAGGAAAGAAGGAAGGAATAAAGAAAGTAAAGGAATGGTGATAAGTTGAAAAAAGAAAGAAAATAGAATGAACAATGAGAGAAAGGAATAAAAAAATAAAATAATAGAAATCATCGGATAAAAGTTTAGGACGTTGAAGGACCCCCTGGGAGTTGTTCCGCCTTTAGGGTTTATTGACTTGAAAATCTTGACTTGATTTTGATAATGATAAGTGTCCCTCCTTCATTGAGAACTCAGTAGATCGCAAAATGAAAGAAAATACAAATATTTCATCTGATTTAAACGAATTTTTTGGTGTCAATGATTGAAACGTTTCTATTTTCTATCCAAATGAATGATAACCAACTGTTCAGAATTAAAATCGTGTTTTGTGATTTTTTTTTAACATCCTTGAATATCTCAATTCGTTCATTTGAATTTATTTTTTTATTTACAGGTGTTTGGATTCTGTTATTCGTTGCAAGAGATGCAAAATTTTTCAGAATTTTTATTCAAAGTTCAAATCTTTGCGATAAACTGTTAACAAAAAAAGGAAGAGAAAAATGTGAATATTAATTTTTAATTTAATTTTAATTTAATATTAATTTTTATAGTTAATAAAATTTAATTAATAACAAATTTAAATAATTTATATTTAATTTATTACACAAAAAAATTAATTATCATCGTCGAAGTTTGACAAATCAATTTTTATGGAAAGAAAATACTAAAAAGTTTGTTCTTTTTATTGAAATTTAAAATCAAGGTTTTCATATTCCGGACAATATTTGAAACACGTGTATGTGTGTATGTATATATGACGTTTTGACGAAAGTAAGACGATCAGTAGACGAATCAAGACGCGTCGTGAAAGATTCGTTAAGCAAAGCAGAGACCAAGGGAGGGCCAGAAGGGTGTATAATCGAATCGGCGTGCAACTTCAGCCGTTGGAAGTGAATAGAATTCAATGAGCGAATACACTATTTACAAGAGAGACGGAAAGAGACGAGAAACATACATATATATTTACACACACACACATACCACAAAAGCAAGAAGGTATTATGAACACTTTCTAAGTTTCCTAACTTTGATCTAACTTCTTATCAAGGAGATAAAACGATTTTAAGATAAAATAAAGGATTATAAATTTCGTTGGGTTGTTCAACAAGTTTTTACCAAATTAAATATCTTTTTTTAAATTTAAAAATTTGAAAAAATGTCAAAAAATCGGCATGAACTTTTTGGGAAGCCATTACGAACTGCCAATGAAGAGAGTTCGTGCCGATTTGCAGAATGTCAATCAATTTTTTTGGTTTAATATTTTGATTTTGAATTAGTTAGCTTACCGTTTACGTTAAAAA